TAAGAGTCTGACTCCATTCTGCCCAGAGACTAACGGGGATCCAGTTCCAGTCAGAGATCTTGGTTCTAACACCCCGCGAGTCTCGAGATGCTGTAGTATAGAACCCGAGGACTTGAGAGTCTTCCTCCTGCCGAATGATCTCCGCCCAATCGACCAGATGCCTGACATCTTCCGTGCAATCCAGATGTTGTCCAGATGCAAAGTCGATCATCTTCAAATGGCTGCCGCGTTTCGTGACTATGGCGACCTGGTTCGAGTATGCCTGCATGAAGGGCTTACACAGGTCGCCGTAATTGTCTTTCTCAAATTCGAATTCTCTGAGGAAGAAGCCATCGACAGATGGCATTGCAATCGCATCACGGTCTGCCAAAGCGGATATGGACTGCCTACAACTTATCCAATTTGACCTCGCCAACGTGGAGGCTGATATGCGACCATCAATGATATGTGAAGCAGTGCTATTAGGACAAGACCCTGCAGCGTGCTTCGCCCAGACGGCCTCCATCAAGCCCAACTTGGACCATAGGGTGCCGTACCGAGCAATCGCGGCGGTGCTGCCAAAATCAACAAGGTTCCAAATCTCCTGGTTCGTATTCTCGTTGGAGTTTCGCCAGTCGATTTGGACAAGTCGCTTCATGCCGACCCAGAGAGCCGCAAGCACGTGCATCTTGAGCTGACTGACAGTTGACGACGTAGATTCTATTGCCATAGCATGTGCGGCCTTGCCAATATACTTTGTAACATAACTGAGGTCGTGAAAGAAGCCCGCAAGCCCAGCAGGGATGGCCGTACCAAATGCATACGAATTGTAAACAGGACCGATGAGGCCTTGGAGTTGCAAGCGTTTCCAGGTTTGATCGAGAGCCGTATCAATATTGTAATAATCAATTCCATCTTCCGTGGCTTTGCCAGGAAGGAGGTCATTGTCGTTAGCCGTGCCGTTTTCGACGTGCAAGATATGGTTAAGAAGATCGAACGTTTCATCAGGCCAGTTTCCTAGATCCGTCCATGCCGCGGCAAATCCGTCAATCTGCTCACAGGCAAACTTCATGCGACGAGGGAAGTCGAATTGGGGAGAGTCAAGGTAGCGATCGGGTGCATAGAAACATACGAAACTGTCGTCAATGTTGAACCACGATGCCGCAGCCATTTGGGCTTGGCGCTCTAGCTTCGACAGCTTGAGTGTGGCTTCAACCTCGTGACCAGTCTGCCGATCCAAGATACGTCGTTTCCGCACAAGGCTTCCTACTATATGCACATTTCCAGAAATTTCAAGTTTGAAGGCAGCCTCGAAGGTCTCGGGAAAGGAAACCAGCATATCCTCATTGACGTTCTTGATGATGTTTAGAACCCCGGGATGGATCACTTGGATGTGTCTCATGTTTTTGATGAACCGTTCTCCACGCCATTCATCGGGCATAAGATCTTCCCCGCAGAACGTGATGATGGTATTCTTCCGACCGCGACCTTGTTTCCTAATCTGGTCCTGGATGTTGCGCAGTGCTTTCTTCATGTCTGCCGAATAAACCATCTTGGGCCAGTAGTTGTTCTCAACTACGGGTAGATTAAAGAACCGGATGTTCATGTTGAATCGCCTAAACAAACTCGAGATGAGTGGATGGATGCTCTCAGACGACATGGTCACCAGCTTGAGAGTGATGTTTGGGTTCTGCTGATTGGCATTGAATGTTTTGGTGAAGATGGTCGCAGCGTTCAGCGCCAGGACAAATTCCGCACTGAAATCAGGGTCCACATCCACCAAGAAGATTGTGAAAGGATCGCAGAAGCCCTGGGAAGCTGGGTTCCAGGAATTTGGGTCCCTAAAGCTCTTGAGAATGTTGAATAGCTCGCCATACGTATAAATTGCCAATTCCGATGTGGCCGCTTGTCCGGCTCGAAAAGCTGCCCGCATGATGGCGCTAGCTTTGGGCATTAGGCTCTTATCCATCATTGCCCTTTTGCTTTCAGAGACGACAACAACAATCTTGGTGTCAAGTTCAATTCTCTGCTCAAACAACCTGGCCGGGATCCCAAAGATGTCTCCCTCAGCGGCCCTGAACTTGAGGTGGCCGAAGATGCCATCCTCAACCACACCGTCAGACGGTTCGATGAACTCATCGAGATTGTTGACGAGATCTTCCAAGGCCTGCTCCCAATCTATATCGTTTGCTTGTGCGGACATCATGGAGATGAGTACTGGTATTGCTGTGGAGTTGGTCCAAGGCTTGGTGGGAGCCTCGACGGGTATTATACATATTTCGAAAGCCGGTACTAGTAGAACAAAGAAACTTCAACGCTTTGCAGCCCAAATTTGACAATGCAGAGTTCCCCTGATCTGCGTGGTCGGACCATATTAGAATTTCGTATAATGTTGATGTGAGATGCTGCATGTCGCGATGGGACGCCTCCTGAACACTCATCATTCATAACTCCATGGCTAGAAATTTGAACCTTTCGAGCAGTTCAGCGAGCTCATTGAAGGTCGCGCCCATGAAGGAGAAGACATATTGGTAGCTGTGAGAGTTTCAGCAGATGACTCTTTGTTGAAGTTGGCACCACTATTATCGCAACAGCTTTGAAAGGGGGGGGGGGGGGGGGGTCTTGGGCTTGGGCTTGGGCTCGGGCTTGCGGTACTAGACTATTGTTAGTCTCTTCACCCTTGTCATTGAAACGATTTGTACTAACCAGTTTACTTTGGTTCTTGCCATCTCCGTCGCTGTCAATGTCTTTACGTTTGGTTATTCTTTGTCTAGACGTCGGGGGGATGGGGGCAGGGGTCACTTGTTGGTTGGGAACAAAGAAATCGGTACCATGAATGATCACTCCCCCTCCATTGATGGCAATAAGTTCGTATCATCGAACAAAACTGGCTAGTATTTTCCCGTGCGGCCAACTCGTTCTTATTGTCAAAAAAGGACGCTGGGCCTTGGTAGACATTGTTGCGAATCGTATGAGACTTACCGTTGCTGCTCTGAAGTAGACCCGGCATGTACAGAGCCCTTCTCGTTCCTGATGGGACATATTAAATAACTTTCATCAGAGTGCAGTACTGATACCATGCAATTGTCTCTGTCTTGGAGCTTCAATGTCTAGCTGTAGGTATGAGGCCGATGAAGGCTGAGTTATGCCACAACTCTTCCTTCCGATATGTTACAATGACAGGTGCGATTCATGTCAGTCCCTGATGGCAGGATCCAGATTTACTGGCACCGAGAGGTAAGTGCCAGTCGCAGCCTTGCTCTGGCTTGATTCATTGGAGTCAAAGGCCAAGCAAACAACTGCAGTCTTTGGGATTATATCACCATATCAAACATCTATTGTGAAAATACGAAATGGGAATACAAGGATCTCCTATAATCATCATGTTTGTCAAATTTATCATGCATTTTGACGCCGAGAGCAACAAACCTGCGCCATGAACTTTTCTTTCTTTGTTCTGCGGGTTCCATGTCAAGCGTTCAACATGTACCGTTTGCTTTGTTGGGCCCAACAGGCTAAAAGCTCGGACTCCAATCGAATCCCAGTGAACAAATGGCTATAGCAAACAATCACAACGTGGACTATCCCCATCCGTCAGTGCCCTTCTGAGTTAACACTATCAAAGACAGTCAAGACAGGTTACTGAGATTCTTGATAACTCTTTGGCTAACTCCGGTTGTAGAGGAATCCTTCTGTTGGATTGGTTTACGCAACATTGATACCACAGCGCGGCCCCTAGCGTAAGCCAGAGCCTGGTAAAGCCGCCTCACGGGTGGGCCTCTCTTCAGATTTCCTTTCATTACCTCACCACCAACCAACATCCTCCTTGAATTTCACAAGAGCACGCACGGGCAGTTCAAAAACTATCGCTTCGAAAAGGGAAGAGAATGGATGAGAATCATCCGCCGCCGGGAGAAAGCTCTCAGGGCGTGGAGATACTTGCAACTCCCCAGAAACAGCACGCTGAAGCGGAGTTTGGAGATGGGAGCCAGTCTCTTCCCATCGACCTTGTGGACGACAGCGTCCCTAGCCCTAACCAAATACAGGCACCTCCCGTACGGAGAGGGAGAGGAAGACCACGAGGTTCCAAGAATAAAAAGACTATCGCTGCGGAAAATGCTGCCCGACAACCACAGACGCGATTTCCATCGCCACCGCATGCACTGGGCGATGAAAGGGACCGCCACCAATGTTGGATGGGTGATGAGTATATTCCTAGCAATTATGGAGGCTCTCCGCGCCAAGCTATCGACACATCACAGCTCAGCAATGGGGAAGTTTTGGTCCCGCCCGACCCTTCTGAGAGTCACGCTATCGCGGAACTCATCAAAAGTTATCGAAACTCGGTCAATCTTATGAAGGAGAAGAACAGACAGTCTGCTACCATGAGCAAGGACAGACTGAAGGAAGAAGAGCAGTATGAGCTCGCAAAACTTATCGATTCCCACACCTGGAACCAGGCGCAAGAAGACGAGCTGGACGCATCTTGGGAGGGTGGCTTGGTTAAGGCTGCAATAGAGCGCTTGCCCGATCGCGGTGCTTATCTTTCCTCCGTCTTCGAGATATCCTATCGTCTCTGCAACATGGATCCTCTATCCCTGGTATCCATGTATCACAACTTTGAGTTCGACAATAGCGGTAGCGATAGCTTTATGCATGCTGGACAAATGAAGCGCAACCCCTTGTGGACGCCCCATTTCTGCGACAAGCTCAAGAGAATCATGGCGCATCCTTTGTTCTAGAAGACAAATGCGTACCGATTTCTCCCCATCATTATCAGATGGACGGTCATCTGTCGGACAGATGACGGTGAAGGGTTCTCTGCGGAAGAGGGTCACATCTTGAATCTCCTCGGCTGTGGCAACCGGTACGAATTCTCAGTTTCTCCAGTACTAGAGCGCTTTCGCGTCCATCAAGAACGGTTGAAGGCTTCCGGTGTCCCTATGACGTCCCATGCCAAGCTTCTGACATTGATAGCTGATCAGGGTGGCTTGCGCGCAGCACCAACATCAACTGACATTATGCCGGTCCGTACTGGAGACCTGGATGTCGTAATCAGCGCCTTGGACCGTTTATATGACTACAGGGTGAATATCTCTTGTGATTTCCATTATCGAGAATATTGCGCCGGTCGAACCTCGAGAAACTACCCATCAGGATTGGAGGAGCTATTGGAGGCATACAAAGGGGTTTGGATGAAGCTGGAGAGGAGAAAGCTCTGCAGTGCTGCAATGACACAGCCTCACACACAAGGCAATATTTTCTACCACCAGGCTGTTGGACATTCAGTCCCAGCCAATAACGAACTTTTGCCCAACAACGCAGGTTCGGGTGGCTTTCCTGTGAATCACCAGCTAGCAAGGCATTTCGAACTAGAGGGAAATCCCATCTGTCGGTCATTCGACTCCGAGTCTGGTGACTTGACCCGGAATATAGCTGATCATAGGGATCTGATTAATCCATTTCAGGGGTTTCTCACGAACCAACGTAATCGAGCCCAATCGAGCCTCCGAAATCCCTTCGCCACACAGCCTGACCACAGTCCTGCACAAGAGCCACGTATGGTTGGTTTTGAAGACGGAGGAATTATATCAATTGAGTCATCTGACGAAGAGATGATGCAGGGGCAACTGGAACACGCTCCCGTCGTTCCTCAGGCTCCAGGTGGTCGTCGAAGAAAGCGCAAGGGACAAAGGGAAAAAGCTCAAGACCGGAATCGGAAACGTAAATTCCAGGCCAAGAAGAGGAGAGAGCGTCGTCATGGGCAAGGTGGTCAACCTCATCCATTGGGGCCACAGATACAGGGCGGAAGTCAAGGAGAAGCTTGGCGTGATACGGGGAATCAGCCGCAGCCTGATTCGCGGTTCAATCCTCCAACTGGACCGAGGGCATGGAGACAACAGCATGGTGGGCGTGGCACATTTCGATACGAAGGATAAGAGGTCTTTCAGGGGTATTTATGAAAGAGATGACTGCTATTACTGTTATAAAATTGGCTTACGAAGATAACGATACCTATTCCATAGTTTGAGGGTGAAAAATGTACAGATTAAGGTATCTTGGTCGCTTTCCATCAAAGTCAAGAAAGCTTTCTCGTTGACATCACAAGTCGAGAAGCGATCAATGTTAGCACAACATTCAGAGTATTATTCCTATCAAGAAGTCCTCCAGCCCAAAATACTTCGCTACATGCCGATTTTGGACTCCTTCCATCAAAATAGATGCCATTTCCCCTCGTATACTGCTACTCACGCTCGATCGTAGCCTTTGCCTTTTCCAACTCAACGTCTGTGCAGATACATAATGCTAGACATAACGTAAGATACTGACGCACTCTTTATCGTCGGGCTATCGATGTTTAGTACGCGACAAAAGCAATGATACAATGCAGAAGCAGACTCACGGCGAAAGACCTCAAACTTGTCACCATTCAGGTTCATGGAGAAGCTCCTACCAAGACCAGAGCGGCCAGCGAAAGAGTCCCAGCTGATGCTGTTAACCCGGCTGGCGTCACCTTTTGCGCCGATGCTGAACATGATGCCTCCGACAGGGGCGGAAGGGTTCATCGCCTTGACGTGGCGATAAGCCTTGAGGAGCGCTTCCTCATCATCGACATTGAAGGAGATGGTCTTGGCGACGGAGGGCACTTTGCTGTAGACGTTGCACTGAGTGCCACCTCCATAGCTGTTACTGACGACACGAAGGTCGGGGATATCCTTGCCCCGACGGCTGTTGCGAGTCACAGCCTGGAGGACCATGCTGTCAACTCGCTTCAGAGGCTGTTTCTGCCTCGGAAACAGCTGGATTTGTGGGGAACGGAACTCCTGGGCGGGCTTGAATTCCGGAGCAGGTTTGAAGTCTTGTGCAGGCTGGGCCTCTTCAGCTTTTGGGTTCTCGGCCGCTGCAGAGGTCCGGGGATCCCCAAAAAGGCTGCCTTGAGAGCGTTGCTCAGTAGTCTCAGCGCCGAGTAGCTGAGGCGTAGGAACGGTAACCACACGCTGGCCGCGGGTCAACTCAGAAGGAGGGATGATCACATCATAAGGGCCCTCGGGAGAGCCCAGAGACGGAGGGCCCCAGGCGCGCTGCTGCATACCGAAAGGCGGGTCGTCAAAAAGAGAGCCAGGGCTTGGGTAATAGTTGCTTTGTCTAGTAAAGCTGGGAGAGATCCAAGTTCCGTAGGGGTTGGATCGAAAGTTGCCCTGACGAGGAGGAGCAGACTTAGGCATCGTGATGGAAAAGCACCCTTTTCGGTGCCGATGAGGATTGAGGTGAATGAAGAAGAAGGCAGAAGCGCGTGTTTGGTGGGGAACGGGTGAAGGTGGATGAAATTTGGTTGATGCGGGCGGCAAACGGCAAACGGCAAAGAGCTCAGCAAACGGAAGGCGCCAAATGCTTCTGCACCTGCCCGCTAGGTACCTAAGGGTGCCTACCTTAGCTTGCCAAACTTGGCTGTCACTCATCAAAGTATTGACAAATATCAGCCTCAACATTAGTGCCTTCAACTCATCAAAATGGCTCTCTTTCTATTCTCAACTCCCGACTTAGTCCTTGGTACCGCCCTTCAACTAGACAATGTCCTCGCTTACAAACTGTAGCTGGCCCGACTCCCTTTCCGACGACGTCACAACGTTCACAGAAGACCTCAACAAGGACAAGCCAGTCCCTCATCTCGACTATGTCCCTCCTATAGCAACTGTGAAGGTCAAAGCCTTCTCGGAGCCTTGGCCGAGCGATATCCCCACGAACTCTCAAAGAACAGAGTATGTCAACGCCTATCTCGCTTGGGTACGGTACGATGACCCAGCGCTGCAATTAGCAGTACGAAACCAAGCTCGGGCGAGAATTATTAGGGCTCTCCCGATGATCCAAGCAAAAGATTGGACCGAGGCCGAGACTGATCACTTGCATTATCTCATCGACGAAGAATATTGGCGTCTCTGGCGTGAGTCTCCCAATCACTCTTCAAAAAAGCTCAGCCCTTACTGATCATTTCATGCTTCAGTTGAAGACGTCGAACCCAAGCCTTTGTGGCCTTGGACACATCCTGAGCCCGTATTCTTTACCTTCAATGAAAGCTCCCGATGCTTCATCCATAGTCCCCTCCAAAAGCCCCCGAGAGTCCCGGATAGTACACCATCAGAAACGCCGTCTCGCTGCGACTTGAATGTCAATAGAAATGGCGGCAGTCACGATGCGGAGCCAAATGTCCCTGCGACAGGTCGTGGTCTTCCTCGTGCGCTGCATTGGCTGGCCAGTTTTGGCTTAGGCTTGTGATGAAGTGGTTATATATTGTGGTGAAACTCATGGAAGCGTGATCTATACGGACGGCGTCTCATGTTAGCATTGATATGTGTTGTATGCTCCCATTGTAGCGGCACTTGCGGACAGCTTGGATACCTTGTGTCGCCTGTGTTGGATAGCTATTTCTGGACATGTTGGACAGAGCGAGCATCAGAAAATTTGGATTTCCAAATACTAGAACGTAATAGATTCTTGTCATTATATCAATCTGTTTTGTCATTTCGTAAGTGGGATTCCGTGTCGGCTTTGATCAACATCAACACCTCAAGTTCAACAAGTGAGGTTGTTTAACTTCCGGCATGGTGGGGTTCCGGTCCGGTGTCTGTCGGCGCAAAAGGTCCACAAATTCCGGGACTCTATGACCTACCAACTACCCTACGCTCCTTCGACAGCAACACAGTTGATGGTGGCGCTCTAAACAAACTAGAAGTGCTGACAGAAACGTTTTTTTTTCCTCCGTGGTTTCTTTGTCGTACTCGCTCTAAAGTGACGATCGTTTAAGAATTCTATACATCCTCAAGCGCCATTGCTTCGACGGTAAATATGTGGAGCCCGTAGTGCTCTAAGTCATGATGAGAAATTTGTACCAACAAGGCATTGTGCCAACAAAAGCTGAATGAATTACCCTCATCACTTTAATCGGACATGGTCACCTAAGGCGATTGAGAATTTATTGCAGATCAATTGAGTTAGCTGGCGACCCGAAAGCATTCCAATACATTCCCTCTTGCATATAGCATATATGCGGGCTTGGAAGACAAAATGCATTTGTCCCCTGACCTGAGGCTTCCATGTATTCCATCGGCGTCCACCAAGAGCCCATAACCCATTATAAAACGCGAAAGAAAATGACGACTGAAATAGCCGCGCTACCTTCAATTTGGCAAGGTATTATTGGTGCTTCAAGCAGAAGTGCCCATAGCAGGATTGTAGACCTGAATCTTTCTGTGAGCACCAATGCCCACCGCCTTGACCAGGAAGTTGCATTTGTCACTTCCGAGCTGGCATCTCGGATCAGCCAAGTGCAGCTCCACAGAGGCATCAGGCCCCTTCTCGCAAACTTCGTGGAAACAATAGTAACAACCGATCTTGCCTCGATGGATGAAACCATACACATTTCTTCCCAAGTCGGCGTTCGAAAGAGCCTCTTGTAACAAGCCTTTGACTCTACGAGATAGGTGCACATCACGAATCACGCGATCGCGCATAACTTTTTCAACCAAAAATAGTGCATGTTCTTGGGCTGATGGTGCAAAAGATCGGGCCTGGTCAGGGGAAGTGATCAGAGAGGTGGTAAGCGCTGTGTTGGCATCGGAAGATGCGCTTTGGTTCCCAGACTTCATCTTCTCTGACTTTGTTTTGCTGGAGGGGGACGTTTTCTTTTTTTTCTGGCGTTGAAATTGACTGAGCTCTGTGACTGCCTTCCTCTTCTGGATCTTCAAATTCTCGATGGTTTCGGTTTGTTCAGTGATTTGTTGCTTAAGAGCGCGTACAGTGGAGCCTGCGAATGTGGCGGCATCCACCTTGTCTTGGATTACATTAATGATGTTCCCGGTGGCAAACGCAAGTTGGGCACGCATATTTGCGACTTCTTCCTCCAGGACGTAGTTGTTGTCTTCGAGTTCACGGATGCGCTCGGCCGATTCCTCTTGAGCGTCAAGAAGTTGGAGGCTGGTCCTCTGTGTACGGTGGAGGTCTCGTCGAAGGTCTGCGTTTTCGGCCATCAAGGTTTCAATTTGACGAGAATCCTGCTCCTATGCGTGACTTCTATCGTCGGCGTAAAAGCGAGAGTGAGTTTCATCACCCCTTTCAGAAGTGTCCTGTGAGCCCCAATCTGTGTGTGATAGTGAGCAACCATGGTAAGTGCCAAGCTGGTAAACACTTACGATGAGCTACGTTGCCGTCACCGTAGCTGGAGTATTGTGATCCATCACCTCTTGGATCGTGACCCTCTTCTCTGCTGTGAGAGTACGAAGACATGGTGAGTATTGCAGAAAAGTTGCTTCGTGTGGTTGTGTGGAGTGGAAGTGGCATATGAGTGCCAGCACAGTGGTGGCAGTTGCAAGTTGCAGAAAACGCCGGTTGAAGTTGGAGCGCGATGACGAGGATGGAGGGTTTGGTACCGCGATCCGCATTTGAAGGAATAACCTTCCAAGTTGCCGTGGAGGAAGTAAATTCTAAAAGAAGAGGGGGAATAGGGAAGAATCTGTTGGGCTAAGGCGGGGAGCTAAAGACTGTATGGTGACTCTGCGAGAGTGTAAGCTGCCTGTATCTAGCTGCGAACGGCTGCAAAGGACCTTCCATTGGAATTCCCCAAGCCAAGAGCCAGCTTTTGGCCCTCAACGCAATGTAACCTAGGTACCTAGGTACCTTAGGCTTTGATTCCATCTATCTTACAATCAACCATGGTAACATCCCTTTCGTGAACTCATCTCTTTGAACCCCTTTTATCATCTAACTCATTATTTATAAATCACTATATACCGGAGTCACTCGACCAGAACCTAGAAAAGCTCCTCTTGCCCACGAAAAGCCCACCATAACTCCAGATTCAACAATGTCTCGATCCCACAAAGATCCAAGATCATGAAGACGAAGGCGCCACATTGCCATGGCGAGCAACAAACGTAATAATATGAGATAAGCCGTCTGGGCCTTCTGCTAATTCAACACAGATGGCCACTATTTGATGAAGGACGCTATTGAAGAAGCACTCCTTATGTTAAGGTACAACAGTCATCTTCACCTCTTGGAACAAGCAGCTGACCAATGCCAAAGGGGGTTATTTCCATGGGACCCAAAACGATGGGATCCAAATGGTGACTATCCTACCAATGACTATCATACCGATGATGAAGATAGAATTTCCGTCATTGAAGATGAAGATACCACAACAATTGAGCCACCATCTCTAGAGAATAACGACATTCAACTAAGCGACCACTCTTCGAAACAGAGATCACTGGAGGATAAACCCCGGCACAGAGCGACAATCTGAATCGATGGGTTGTGAAACTATCTTCTCTCGGCCGGATTAAGCTCTCAGCCACAGGTCTCAGCGGTAAATAACACTTCTAGCTCACAACTTAGAATGGGTTGTGAAACAATTCGCCCGAGCTGAGCAACCAACAATTTCTGGGACGATCTCAAAAACCTAGCCTCAGCCATAGAGAACACAGGAACAACTCAGGACTTCGAAGCCCAGGCTGCCGAACAAAGATCGATAAATAAATCTTGGGAACACTTGGTCTGGCTTAGACAAAGCAAAAAGAGATGAGCTCCCTGGGCCTATGCAAATGGATTTTGTTGGGCATAAAGCAAGACAAACTTCAGGAGGGGCTGGAGAGACTTGGAATTATTCACAGCGATTTATTGCACAGCGAATAGCATTCGACTTTGAATAAAACATAAGAGTTCAAGGTCGTAGACGATGTTTTGGAAAATCTGAGCTTTGCTTATGCCTTGTTGTGACCTGGTTCAGTCCTCTCAAGGGTGAACAAAAGCCTGAGAAGATCCATCACCAAAGAGACTCTTCTGAGATCAATTTAGAAGTGCCAAAATCCACTGTTTGTTTCCTTAAGAAAAACCCCGCCCACTGAGACTTCATGTGAGTCCATTGTCCTCAAGCTTTTGGACAAGGTCGATGGCTGAAACGGACCCTCACGGTGCAAAAGACGAGAAGCACAAGTGAGCTGGAATTATGGAACCATACTGATAGCAACATCGTCACAACACGGTTTTCAGGTGTAAATTTTTATAAATATGGACATCTTCTGAATGTTATGTACAGCGTTGACGTTTGGAGACTCTCTCAACAGACCGTGGAAAAGTGCTTCCCTAAGTACAGCCATAGGCTGCAAGGAGAATAATTCAATAATTTAAATGTTGAAATCAATTTGAATGGCATTTAATTTTACTAAAAGATCGTTTGAAACTCTCTTATCATATCTCGAGATGCCTTGCTGTCTCCGTTGCCCCAATGATTGTCGCACCCGAATTAATGTCCTTTTGCCCGATGCGGCCCTGAGCGAACTGGGCCATTTTGTTACTTAGCAGAGTTTTCGAAATCTCCAAATGCTGTAAAACTGATGTTACCCGGATGGCTCTGCTGCTTCCAGATAAGAAACTCGCAATCGGAGCCATGCAGTGTGCAAACGGAAAAGGATTTAGCCTCAGTCGAGAGCTTGCCTTTCTCACAGACCTCTCGAAGACAATGCCACCCAGGTTTGTTTCTGAAGTAAGCAAAATCTGCTAGATTTCTCCTTATCTTTTCGTGAGGCAATGATGACTTTGGTTCATATGCACGACTCAAGTCTTCGATGAAGGGTTTGATTGCGCCCTGAAAGGCAACAGTGCAGCGGGTTGTCCGGGTATTGTACTGTTTGCACGATTTGACAAATTGCATTGCAGGGTTTTCTTCTTCATTTTTGTCGGTGTCTGAATCTGTGCGTCGTCGCTTTCGACTGAAATCCTCTTGTTTGAGAAGCACAGAGTCGCGAAGTTCTCCTGCTTTTTGATGAAGCTCGCTGCCGTGCCGTTTCACTTCCTTGAGAATGCCCTGGAGTTTCTTCAAGTCGTCTGGGCTCATTGTTATGCTGCCGACTGGAATGGTTTCATTGCTAGAGTTACCAGCCCGTGAGTTTTGGCATCGAAGTACGGCCATGTTTTCCCGCAACTGGTTGTTTTCTTTCTTGAGCTCCGCATTCTGGGCCACAACGAAATCTTGCGTCGCTTTAAGCCCGGTAATGGTGTGTTCGGCCTCATGCAAGCGCTGGCGAAGGTGATTCTGTATGAATATTGGTTAATAACCTAGTCTGACTGGCGTGCTCATATACTGACAACTGTGTCGCCGTTCACATCCTCTCTGGAGACTGCGATGGCGCTAGGAGTAGCTGGCTGCGACGTCATCTTTCCTTCTTAACTGATGTGGAAGGGGGAAGTTCCTGAATGCCGATGAGCGATGATATGTCGAGGAGGTGTTGGAAGGGGAAATATTAGACTAATTTTGTGCGGCAGGGGCTGAGCGCTGATCGTGGTTGAGTGTCTGGCAAAGATGGAAGGTAGTGGAAGTGGCAGCGACTGACAGCTCACACACATTTCTAGGTGCTAACTAATCTACCTTCAAGCACAACCACAGTTGGCAAGCGCTGCAACAGACAGTACCTATGTTCAATCAGATCCCAAATAGGCCATATTATCGCTTGTCGATGAAAATATGCTGCAGGCCCTGGCAGATGTGGATAAGAGCATGGGCGATACCTACCCTTTACACAAATATCAGTTCCTACACAGACCTCCGCGGTCTATTGCCAACTTGAGCTTTGTCCAATGGTCCTTGCCAATTTTTCTTGCCCTCCACTGTACCTGCTGGAAGTGGCTTTCCAAATGCCAGCTCCTCCCAATGTCAGCAACAATCCATATCAGACGAGAGTCTGTTTGCCAGCAGACGGGGCTACCCTTCGGCATTTCCTTTCAACCCAACATATCACTTCATCATCTCTCTATATTGACACCAAGCATTACCACTTTCTCGCGATATTAGCAGAAGCACTCAGAAATGACATCGAGACAGTCTACCGAAGGTGGTGAAGAGTCAGAGCACCAAGAGTCGGAGCACCAAGAATCGGAACAACAAGAGTTGAAGCACCAAGAGTCGGAACACCAAGAATCGGAACAACAAGAGTTGAAGCACCAAGAGTCAGGGTACCAAGATTTGAAGCACCAAGAGTCGAAAAACGACCTCCATCATGGCGACAGAGGCGAGCTTGCTAGAAGCAATGATCGTAGAGATCAGTTTGGTTATCAGTCGGGCGGTCAGCACGGCGGTGGACATTTGCAACATCCTCCGTCTTCGCATCCCTCTCAGGCTCCTGGTAATACCACAGGCTACCCGTCTACTGCTCAGCGTGGGCCTCTAGCTCCTCCGTCTCAATCTTCTTATAATGCCACAGGCTACCTGCCTACTGCTCATCATGGGCCTATACCTTCATATCTGCAGCCGCCTCTAGCTCGTAGCAATACCACAGACTACCTGCCGACTGCTCAGCATGGGTTTCTACCTCCTCCAAATCCGCCTCCAATTCAGGCTCCTGGCAGTACCGTGCCTCAAAATCCCCGACCATCTAGGGCAAACTATCCACATGGTCATTATCCCCCCCAGAATGCCCCTAACGGACAGCATGGTTTGAATCAGCCAGCCCCGCACGGAATTTCCTCTCAGGTGCCACTGGGATCCGGAAACGAGCCCCGACACCCCTCATCCCAGCTCTACGGGCCCAACCAGACATGGCATACAAGCTACAACAGCGTCAATGGTGAAGAGGAAGGAAAGGAGAAGAAAGGGGGCAGGAAAAGAACAAGATCTCAAGCCAACATAGACCAGGATCCGTCGGCTGGGTCTCGGGGGTCTTGGGATTTACTGAGGAGAGACTTAGGTAATACTCTGAGATCCGTCTTGTTTCAATTCAAGGAGATTGATAAAATTGAGGGTCACTCCACTGACGAAGAGGCCAACCTGACCATCCATTTTACGGTGAGCCGCTCACAGGACACGGGCGAGGTCAACGTCAACACCCAGCTTAAGGGGCCTCCTGGGGAACAGAGACGCAGCGGGTAGCAGCGATAGCGGGACTTGTCGTTTGCACCCGGTCTGGCTTTGACATCTAGACACCTCCAATCCATGGCCGCTATGGTTCAGAGAAGAAAGAGGTTGACGAGAGTTGTTCATTCCCATTGGCCGATGTACCGTCCACACAGATATTTGTTTCTTTGGCGATGCTCCCGACCAAAAAGACGAGCCAATGATGTACTTATGGGTATGTAGAATTACTTGTGCTCTTACGGTAGTCCTCATACAAATAACAGACATAAATTACCTAAAAGAAAGAGTGTTGCCTTCTACCGGGCATGAACCATGTCAACAGGTTGACGTGCCTCAGGAAGCAGTAAAACACCAGACCTTAGTATAGGGTGTTAAAATAAACTTAGCAAAGAGTAACCTAAGCTCAGGCTAGATTTTCCTAAGCATGTTCATCGCTTAGGGTCAGTTTTCGCTTAGTTGGTTCCAGGTAGGAATTCACCAGGCTTGTTTCCACCCTCTGGTCCCATAGCAAAGACCAGCAGGTAGGAATGGCCTCCCTTTGCAGAGACGGAATGGATTGTTGGGGTCTGTGTTGCAGTTTCAATCTGCATGACCGGGACTCCACCATCATCATAGGTTCGCATGTAGTCCCTCTCGTGAAGCGTGTCTCTCATCCGCACAACAGAAATCAAAGAGAAACGACGGGAGGATCCGTTCCAGACGTCTTACGGATGCCAAAGACCCTGCGGTGATGTTCCATCATGTTATCGCTATCGTCCTTCAGGCCGATGGTCAACACAGGGCCAGCCTTGGCAACAATCTCAGGAGAGACTACATGCCCGTATGGCACAGCACCATCGGATATCTTCATCCACATAACCCCGTGTGATATGCTTTACCACAAGCACATAGTCAGATCAAAGAAATATAACCTGTTGGCGGCCGACCACGAATGATCTGGTCGAACATGGGAAATGGTTGCCGACGATCTCTCCGCCATATCCCCTTTCATGAATATTCTTCTCTGCCTCCAGCTGCGGGTTCACGGAAATAATTATATGGTAAGGGCGCTACAAGTCTTTCAATGCACCGCTACTGCTACTTTCCGCTCTCAAAGACATGGGCGTTACATTTCCATGAAAGGCCCATAGTCACAAACCAAGGTGACGTGCATGAAAGAAGATATGTGAGTGAATTGATCCTCCAGATAGTGAATTGAATCCTCCATGTATAAATACCGATCCTATCTTCCCACAGAAACTGAGCAACTTACTTCCATAGACACGTACCACGAACCGACACACTAGGCCCTCCTCACTTAAAGACACTCACCATTTCCCGATTTACTACACATAAAAATGCCCAAGCGACGCTTGTCTGGCGACTCTAAGGACGATACGCCACGCAAGATCCGCAAGTGCAGCAATCAACAGATGGAGCACCGTGGCAACCTCGAGGGGACTGTTTCTAGTCTGAGAAGATGCAGTCTATCACAACTACCAAATGAGTTCGAGCCCAAAATGCGACACCAGAGAGAGACTTGCGGTCCAGAAACGATGAGCCGACCAACCTTGACGAGGATTTCAGCTCAGCAACAGCCGATACAGACAACTATGTAGAAGAATCCAGTGATGATTCTGATCTTGAGGAAAGCTTGAAGAGCCCACGCCCAGAGATTTTACAAGAAATGATCGATGAAATAAAAAAACTCAAGGAGTTTATCAATTCGAAGACCTTTATGATGAAGCATTGGAGAGATTCGGCCATACTTCTTGAAAGGGAGGTGGAAGTCTTGAAGGCCAAATTGGAAGCAGTCGACAAGAAGCCTGCCCGAGCCTGAAGGCCAGACTCTTGGGAAATGTCTGGATCTCTTTCCAGTTAAAAGGGGAGTCACTCGAGAAAGGGAAGGACAGTGAGGGAGACAATCTGGACGTTGGTCAAGGAGTTGAGATTTTTGCTAAGAATAGGAGCCTTCTATTCTTTATTATTTAAGGTCCCGCATCATGGATTCTTTGAAGGTATCCCTTATTTACCTTAGGAATCTAACAATTCCATTGCATTGAGATAACTCCCATTGAAATTCAGTCCAGAAGCCAGTTGAGGGGTTCATATTTAACCGAAACGGGATCGCAACCACTGCAGAATTCCGTATCTAAACGGATTCCAGAATGAAAATCCTCAGTTGGCATGGACCTGAACCTCTGGGTGAGCCAGTTGCAAAAGCAAGGATCAGTTGGGTTATCGACTGGGTGACTATGGCATCGAAGTTGCATCGCAGCATCCTACGAATTGCGGGCAGCCAAAGTACCATGGACCCCTTCACCAACAGCCCGAGAACAGTAAAAGTGTTTCGAATCGTAAGATGGATTGACGGCAACAGATCGCAATGTATGTTGTATATCAAGACGAAAGCGGACTTTTTCTTCAACAGAGTCTGTGTCATGCAAGCTGGGGAATGCGTTGAACAAGTCCACAGAATGATTCAAATCTGGGTGAACACGAAGAAGATAATATTTCGATGGTTCCGATGGTGGATGCGGCATGCATCTGCACTGAATAAAGACTGCACATGCTCGGATCTGGGTTATATCATCGGAGAAGCCCTGGGCTTGTGCCTCTTCGGAAGGCATGGCGTGTTGTTCCTCAGTGTCGGTCCCATGTGATTCTTGCTTTCCCTCTGTTCCTGCTGTCGGACTTTCAGGTTCCTTAGGCGGCTCGCCCAGGTCGTCCCAAGACAATGACAGAAGGTCGTAACGGTCCGCGAGCTGGAAATAGTCAGTTCGCTACTCAGGAAAATATCTTCCAAACTTACGTCGTCGAACTTGTGCCAAGAATCTGAGATCCCTGAACCTGAGATCTCTGAACCTGAGTTTTCTGAATCTGATGGCATGATGGTGGTGGGGTGTGATGTTGTAGAAGGATGTGATGTTGATGTATTGATGTCGATGAGTTGTGAAGAGCAAAGTCTGAATTCTGAAGTCTGAAGTCTGAAGAACGGAGAATGGGGAATTTAGAATGGAAGTGCCGAGATTATAAACGAGGTGCGATGGATATAGATGGGCGGAGCGGCGGAGGTGCGATGGAATGGGTGATGGCCGATGGGTCAGTTGTCTCATGATCACCCCTTCCATCCCACTTCGATCTCAAATAATTTGGAAGGTAACCTGTTTACCTAAGTCGTGGACAGCCTGAGGCAAGCTTCGCATAAACTTGGCAGGTCTTTAGATCACAGTAAGACCAATTATTAAGGTCAGAAGTTTTATTCTTTCATGTACATACTCATACTATGGAATAGAGCGAGCGGCACCAGATAAGCCAAGGTTGACCGTCTCATTCTTACTACCTTGTCAAAACGTAATGCTCTAGGTGATATGACGACTCAAGCTCTCATAACCGAGACTCAAAATGTCACACCCGGACCGATAGCTTCAATATCGACACCGTTTTAGCCAGTCACTAGGCCATCTGGGTATGATCGTGGCCCCAGATTGAACAGCAGCAATGTTCAGCGTGACAATCAGCCCAGAGGCTGAACATTACTACCAGTATCTTCCAGGTTTACGTGACCATTGTCACTTCTTTTCTTCCAATTGTTTCCCAAGAGGTTTATGAACAGCATTCTATGTTCAGAAGTTGTGGTCGGATGAACACCCGTTTCTTTATGTATATAAATCTCCCAGCGAGCCCAGATCAGAGCCACTCCCATATCCGCACAATTCGACACCCTCAGTCAACAGCACTACCCTCTCCTCAAACAAGAAGCGCTTCAGTATCACTAAAAAAAAGCACTTCCGACTTTTAGACATTTTATCATCTTCGAATTCTCTTTCCAGGATGGCTGTACCTACTATCACAGTCTCCTTTCCTAAAGCCACCCCCGGATCTCCCACGACCCGGGCTGTAACATCCCCTGTGGAGTGGGATCACTATTATTCGGGCACACGCTTTTCCGAGAATCGAGACATCAAAATGAACCGAACGCAAGGTGTTGAGAATAATGGTGTCTGCGATGTTGAGGAGGGGGGCTTAGACGAGAACTTTGTGTATGGCCGTCTTTCACCTGTCCCTGCTCGACGAGATTCGAAGACACTGTCTGAATTTAACGGCTACCTTCCTGGATACAGGTTTGTTGGTAACCGCGATATTGAGATGGGTGAGGCCGATGTGAAGTGGCCGGGCTCGTTTCATGAGTTCACCTTTGAGTATCCGTTTCTCCCTGCCGAGGACTTTGAGGGTTTCAGCGGCTGTTGGCGTGAGGATGGCAATGAGGCTGACGTCTCGGAGTCTTGTTTTGAGGAGTCGAGTAAAGAGAGTTCCGACACTGGTGGCTCATCAGAGGACGATAATGTCTCTAACGCGTATGGAGATGCCCCTCGAAGGCTTTCTGGCATGGAAGACACCTACTGGGGACTTCGAAAGCGTGATTTTGACGATTATGAGCAGGGTCAAATTGAAGAGGACGAGTCTGACGATGTTCAGCTCGAGGAGCCTTGTCCTGAGATTGATGATGGTAACGATACACCATCTGAGGATGAGATGGACATGGAACATGTCATGGACTGTGGTTGTTGCTCTGACCTCTACTTCAACTCCACTAACGCTCCCCATGATCACGAATATTCGCTCGAGGACTATCCTTTTCAGGGTGATGATGTTGAGATCGGGGAGATGCCTCGAAGACTCCCGACCATTCACGAGGAGGAAGAACCAGTGAGTCACTTTCCCTACGGATATGCAGAGTACGTGCCTGGGTTTGCCCATGCGGACGAGGGCTTTGGGGCTGGGGATGACTCCTACCTTGGTCAAATTGTGTTCGTTGTGCAGCAGGAAGAGAGTGAGGATGACTCCGATCCTGATGAAGTTGTGGTTGTTACGCAGGCGGAAGAGGGTGAGGATGATGATGGCCCCTACTTCAACGAGGCTCAACTTGATTCGGCCGAGGTTAGATACACTTTCGTCTGATGGGTGTGAAGTTAAGAGGTTTGTGGTACTGTTGGTTATTTTACTAACCTCCATCAGACCCGGCTTTTCGCGAAGAGATAGGAAGCTGAAAGCAAAAATAAAAAAGGTAAGTTTAATCGCAGCTACGTCTATCATATTCCTTTTGTCAATATTTATTGGAAGTTCTTGTTTGTTTTCTCGAGGGCCAGGTACGCAGGTGGGGATATGATGGAACAAGGAATTCTCAAGGTAAATCAGTAGGGAAGGCAATACAAGGGACGCTCCATACACGTTAAAATGAAATTCTAGAGTGATGTCATGTTGTGAAGGTGAAGATTTCGTGACAGAGGTGGCAAAAACTTCTAGCCCCTGATAGACAAGAATGGAACATCTAGATGATCCAGCTCAGGGGTTGAAGCTCAGAGACGAGCAACTCTAAATCAGACTTGTTATAGCGCATCGATCATTCGGGTTAAGATGACGATAAAGGAACTTACTTGTAGCAAATATGCATCATCGGCCCAAGGTGGCCTTGGGTAGCTGAGCGATAAGTACTGATGCGACACGGTTCACTTCACGTTGACCCTTACAAAGTCCATGCCAAAGCAGAGATTTGTGCCAATACCAGGTGCAGAACTTTCACGGAAAAAGCGTATCTTAACTCTATAGAGGTTGGGCTTGTTGGCGTGTCTCTGCTTCACTGACAGTGAATGCAACTGGCAGCTGTCAACGGTGTCATAGCTTCGGTAGGCGGCAGTCAACTCAGCCTTCCATTAGCTCGCCAATCTCTGATTCACACACAAAACTTGATCATCATTCTTTTTACCACTCATCAACTTCTCACATCATTTTCCCCCCCGCCTATCGCCATCGGAGTAACAACACAGACTTTCAGTATCACTGACGACACAGTCATGTCCTCCACACAAGAGCTCGGTGAGGGCTTCAAGCACACCGGCAAACGTCGAAGAGTCGACGATGACGGTGCGCCGGAGGATGAAAACCATGCCTTGAGGAAGAGCCTTGAGGAGGAGCATGAAGCCTTTAAGAAGAAGACAAAAGCCCTGGCAGAGAAACTCGATAGAGTGGATGAGTGCATGGAGTCATTTAAAAAGACTTTCATTCCGTCTTTCGGTACGGTGGTTGGTGGACTGGCAGAATATCGAAGCCTCGAGAATGCGTTCGAGCAAGCAAAAGCAGAGATAGCATCGTTGCAGCTGGCTCCTGCTCAAACAGCGACAGAAGAAACTTGGCAACAAAACGTCATCGAGATGGTCGAGAAACATAAGTACAGGATCACAATACCGATCATAACTCATGCTCAAGTTATGGAGCAGTTCCAACCACTGATCGCTTCTGGGAACAAAAAACATGTCGACCACTTGTTGGATTTTGTCTTCCAAGCCAAGGTCGGGAAATGGTACTGTTTCCAAGAGGTTTGCGACAAGGGAACTTTAGGGCTCACTGAAGTCCGTATTGGTCCAGAATGTCCACTCCATGGAGTAGGATGTAAGCAGGTCCTGATGGCCAGAATGGAAGCCACTCCTCATTTCCAGGTCATCTTCAAAAGGTTTGACCCGTTGGGTTTACCACAGTGAACTTCACGGGTGAGGTCGTCGCTCGGTGCAGGGTAGCGCCGGCCCCACAAACCGTCAGGACAGGGGTTCCGTTGCCGTTGAGCCCCTCCACCTCCACCTCCACCAACTCTGCCGTCTTCCGATTTGTTTACTCTATCATCAGCCTTACCTTATTTACACTCCGCCTTTTCAAGGTGGTATCAGCATATCTGCCGAAAAAACTACATAAACGGCACTTTCACTCTCGAAACACTCTCTTTCAACATGCCACCATGGCTGCAGTTCAGCCTCGCACGCGGTCTGCCCGCTTAGTGGCCGGCTTCACCAACAAATCTACTCAGCAAGCACCAGCGGCGGCGCCAAATCCTCATGTTCACCATGGACCTCCGGCGCTGTCGATTTTTTTGACCAACCTGAATCTTTTGGACCTCGATCAACTCGAGGATTGGCCTGGTATCAAGGCCCAAACATTTGCGAGCGGTGGTTCTAGTGCGCAGGGCCTGAAGAAGAGAGTTCACTGCGTTGAATGGGCGCTCTTCCAGCTCTTTGCGCTATGGGATCCCGATGAAACAAAAAAGGTAAGACAGCAAACCAAGTGTAAGATCAGACTGACATTTGTAGAAACTAAAACCGTTCTTCCCTCCTCTTGACCAAACGCAATCAGTCAACCTACGAGCCGCCCTACTACGAGCTCTTGAGCAAGCAAAGAAGAATGGCGTCCTCGGACGAGATGCTATTGTACGAAAGACAATGCTAGACGAATGTCGAGGCGAACGACTCGAGGAGGTTCTCGCAGCATTTTCATCTGCTGTTCTCAAACATGTTATTGCTCAAGAGGTCGCAACAAGCGGTGAACATACAGCACTTGCGCTCGGACTTGCGCTCGAGGACCGCGGGTACAAGAGCGACAACACAGATCTCAACACTATGGTTTTGGCGCACAAAGTTGCGATCAGCCGCATCCTCAACAGCAAGGTAGCCGCAAGCTCAAGGTTCCGCGACTTTGCCGATCTTTTAAATGTCAAGGAGAAGGGCATTGCTAGGAGAAAAGAAGCACTTGATGCCCTCGAGGGAGGCAAGACGATCTCTGAAGATGCTAGACGGGAAATGTGGCGGACACTTCGAAACAACTGGTCTGGCAATGAGCGATGGATGGAGACGCTACTCTACGGAGACGCCAGCGTTAAGAAGGATGGACTTCTGGGTATGCCCTTTGATCGCGTGTGGAGAAGAGTCCAGCAAGGCCGTCTTGGAGAACTTGAAGAGCACTCAACAGGTCTTCTGGAACAGCTCGACATTCGAGTACGTGTACAGAGGGAACGACTTCAAAAGTGGCAAACCTTCCGCAACAGACTGTCCGCTGATCAACCCAAACCATCCCCATCCAAGGTCAAGCAAAAGGAGAAAGAGAACGGCATCGATTTTGGCTTTGGTGCTCACGAGGCACTTCATCTTGGAAGTGCCAGCCCTAAGAAGGCGACTTTCGGCAAACCGAAGCTCCTCAGCGAGTACGAGGATCTTGTGTCCAATCTCAGCCAGGAGTTGCAGAGCACAAAGCCTCAAAAGTCTTCGGCTCTTGACTTTTTACAGCGCCCTTCTTCTCAGAATACACCGGCCATCAACGCTCCGGCCCCGGAACCACAGGAGGAAGAGGAAGAGTCTATCAGCGAACTCGAAGATGAGGATGGGTTTGCTGAAACTCCGATTCAGTCTTTCAAGTCGAAGCTCGACAAGTCGAGAAGGCTTCCGGTGCGCCCTAAGCTGGCTCATACGGATGACTCTTTTGCTTCAGTCTCTTCGCGCGCCAGAAACTTGCGCAAGCCATCTGAGGACGAAGCTCGTATTCTTCGTGCGTCATCGGTTGAACGGACTAGCTCGCCCGAACCTGAAGATGAACCTGTTGCGGCTTCTCCACGACCCGAGTACGATGTCTCACCTCAGCTGTCACCTCATATATCGCCTCAACCGTCTCCTCCTCCGTCGCCTCTGCCACTACAAGAATCTCCAGAATTGATGCCGGCGCGGCCTTCCCCCACCCAAGAAATGGCAGACCAGATCCTCGAATCAATGGATATGGCGTCTCCTTCTCCCGTCAAACGACGACCCAAACCTCGACATACTCTTTCACTCGCTGAACGAACTCGCCTGACCATGGCACGTGGAGCATTCGACCCCGATAATGAAGACATTGATATACCCCCACCAACATCCTCAGAACCTGTTTCTGCAGAGGATCCCAGTCAAACATCAGTTGACGAGGAATTTGATCTCATTGCTCGGACCCGGAAGAGCATGGCTGGTTTCGACAAGGCGAGACAAAAGGCCCAATTGGACAGGCGACGCTCTCTGCGAAAGACGAAAGCACCCCCTAAGAAGGAGGGAAGTTACTTTCCCAAGGTGGAAGAGGAAGACATGACCATTATCACCGATGAGCTCATGGCTCAAGAGGATATGGAGGCAGTCTTCAGATCTCGACCCAAGATCAAAGCCAGCCCTCTGCCAAGTCCGACCAAGGATTGGGATGACGACGAATATATGTAGTCACGATAATGAATTCTCCTTAATCATAGTTTACATGCTCTCATATAATGTACACCGCGCTTTTACACTCTACCAGCCCTGCTTCTTAAGCTCCATAACTCTGCTAACAGTCGCCTTGAAACCATGCTTGAATCGTGATCGCCATCGCTGACTCCTTAGTCTCTTCTTCTTAAGGCCTTTTCGCTCGTGGAACTTTTGGCTGTGGAATTTGTTCTTGACTTGGTCCTCTCGGATGATTCTGTTGAGAACTCGAAGAGCGACCATTGGCGTGGGACCGGTGGTCTTGGTCACTCGGTCCTTGATGAAGACTGTACGACCAGTGACGGCCTTGGCGCGGATTTGAGGTCGAGCAATTGGATCCGAGTCAATGTCAGCGCCGTATGCGCTGGATTTGTTGGCAATGATGGATGCAATGTCCAGACTGACGGGTTTCGAAGCATCATAGGCGTGGCTGGGCTTTGATTCGGTGGGAGATTCGGTGACAGAGCCGGCGGGAGGTGGTGAAGGAGGAATATTGCCAACGAGAGGGTTCGATCGAACTAGAGGAGCGACGGCTGGAGGTGCCTCATCATCTGTAGGAATCTTGGGGCCTGCTCGGAAGGCGAGTGAGGTTGTGAATGTCCTCTTGGCGAGACATGTTGAAGGTGTAGCTACTCTCGACAGCATTGAGCTGCCAATTCTGAATGAAGCGGCCCTAAATTTGTCAGCATCCAATTCAAAAGTACAATGCCAATTGACTTACATCTTGTCGATATAGCTAAACCGCCAATGGCCGTCGTCAATAGCTGTCCCAGAACAGGCGAAGCAGAAAAGTCGCGATGTTCGGAAAAATGTAGGTGCGAAAGAAGGCGGGATTGTGGACCGAAAACCGGCCCCACATTGAAACATTTCAGCCTCGTGCCTGGATGCCTCAACACGGTTTGCGCCTGCATAAAGAATCGCGAAACGACATCCAAAAACAATTCCATCGTTATCTTGACGTGAATAGTTTACTCAAAAGTCTTACGCGACCATCCTCATCCCCGATTCTCCGCGCTTGCACGCGACGGCGCCACTATGGCGTATAATCCTTATGGCAGTATGTTTCCCTTGAATCAGTATCAACAGAGCTAACTTGAGTAGATAATCCTTACGGCGCGCCTCCTGCGTATGGGGGATATCCCGGATCAAACAATGCCCCTCCAGGAATGGCTCCTCCACCTGGTCTAGGTGCGCAGATTCTGCAATACCCTCACTACCCTTCTAACATGTTTCTAGGACCTCCTCCAGGCATGTCTTCTGCTCCGGGAATGGCACCTCCAGGTGTCCAGCAGTCTAGCGCCCAGCAAGCTAATCGTCCAAGCGGCCTCCCACCCAACTTCCAAGCGCCTGCCAACATGCCCAACATCAACTTCAACGCCCCCGTGATCCGACTCGGCACATCACAGCAGGGTAAACCCGGTACCCCCACAGCGGGCGGTCGTGATATGCCTATGCCCAGCGGTGGACGACCTGGCTTAGGTATGGACCGAGGAGGTGATCGAGACCGAGGCGCCAGGGAAGTAACACAGGTACTTGTTCCCCCGACGAACGAGGAGAAGCTCCGAACGATCTTCATAAACGAGATTCCCGAAGGCTTGGGCGGCGATGAGGGAATCCTACGGCTTCTGGGTGCTTGTGGGAAGCTGCGAAAGTGGGATTCTGAAGCTAGTGTCACAGAAGACCACAAAGGCGTTAAGTTTGGTTTCGCTCTTTTTGAGGACCCTTGGTCGCTGAGTACTGCAGTCAAACTTCTCCACGAGCAACAAGTCGAAGTCCCCGTCAAGCGACAGCCAGTAGCCGCGGATGCGCCCAAAGACGATGCGTACGAGGGTATCGACAAGACGAAGCTCAAAGTTATGGTCGATGAGAGTTCTCTCAAGTACCTGGAGTCCTACGAAGAGAGTCAAGACGGTGCTATCGGGTCGGAGAAGCTCGAGGCGGCCAAGTCAGCGCTCAAGGACGTTGTTCACGATTTGTTCTACCCCAAAACCAACACAACAAATGAGGATGTCACAATGGGCAACACCGAGTCTGGCGAGAATGTTGAAGTTGTGAATATCCCCTTAGCTCAAGAGGACGAACTCGCAGATATTCCAGCTGAGATGAGGGAAGTTGTGGCACAGGAAATCGCTGCTTTCCGAGAACGCAGCAACCAACGAGATCTGGAGCGATTGAGAAAGGAAGAAGAGATGGAGGAGATGGAGCGACGACGGAATGGTCCAGCTCGACACTCTCGACTCGATTCACCACCAGCTACCAACAACATTCCTCTTGGTCCAAGAGGCAGCATAGCAAATGCGCCATCAGGGCCTAAGGGACAGAATGGACAGCGAGTTGCTTTTGTGAATGGAGGTATTTCAAACACAGACCTTTCTATTCACCAAGAAGATGACGACACAGATGCCAGCGATGGAGAACTGTACCGACGATACAAGTCCAAGAAGGATGATGAAGACGAG